GTCCCACCCACAGTGCAGTGACCCACTTTAAGTTTAAATACTTGACGGTTGACTTGTGTGACAAGGTGTAATGTCAAGCAGTAGCATCTAAGGACCTAGTTTTGTTTTGATTTTTATTTTTGTAACTATGAAGCTCGGCGGCTGCTGCAGTAGTACAAGGATTTTGTTTTTGTAGTGATTAGGCTCCGAGGCTGCAGCAGCACAAGGATTTTGTTTTTGCAGTGATCAGGCTCCGAAACTGCAGTAGCAGTGCAAGGACCTTAGTAATTAGGCTCCACAGCTGCGGTAGTAGTGTAACACCTGGTTTTTGTAGCAATTAGGCTGCAGTAGCAATATGAAAACCTTGGAAATTAGATTTTGCGGCTGCGGTAGCAATGTAAAGACCTTGTTTTAGGCTTCATGGCTACAGTAGTAGTGCATGAACCTTCGATAAATAGGTTGCAGGCTCCATGGCTGAAATAACAGTGCTGTGTATTTTAAAAACCCAGTTTACTTCTAGTCACCAGAATTCAATCCTGTATATATCTGAGTACTCACATAAACTTTACTGATACTGATCGTACTGGTCCTGCGCGGCACCACGTGCTGTGCAGCTATCTTATAAATATATGATATTAATCGTATTAATAGTGACTTAACAGAATTACAAAAATATGTTTAAAGTATTATAATAATACTTTTAATATATGTTTATCATATATTTATTATATTTTTTTATTAAAATATTTTTATCATATTTTTATCATATAATAGTTATATAACTATCATATGATAATCATAAATGGCAAAACTTCAAGTTTCTGCTAAGAAGACAGTGCCTGATCCAAAGTGAATCCCTCTCGCCTGTGATAAATCACAAATTAAATTATTTATGTTGGATTCAATTGTGATAGATATAATTACTCACCAGTTTTAATATATGTGAAACATTAACAGTCTTTGCTGTAGGAATTTTTTAATAAAATTATAATTTTAAGATAATTGCAGTGACCGCAAAAAGGATCCTGAAAAATAATATGCAACAAATATTTTCTATAATATCAAATATGAGAGAAATACAGTGACTGCAAAAAGGATCTGAAAAATAATATGCAACAAAATTTTTCTGTATTTTCCTTATATTATCAAAAATGGAAGAAATATAGTGACCGCAAAAGGATCTGGAAAAGGATTCATTTGAGTTCAAAATCATCAAACAGGGATCAGTATTACACGAAATTTTAGTGGATGATTGATCACAGTGATGCCCCGATAGTCTAATCCGTTTTTGATAATATTGGGCTTAAACGAATGCTAATGTTCTTAGTATTCATTTAAAAGAAAAATTATTGAAAACAGATCAGCTGTTCATGAAATATCAGTAATATTTTGATAAAGCAATTGTTTATTTCAACTCTAATTTTAATATTTGGCATCATTTAATAGCCATATTTCATAAACGACTAATCCGTTTTGTGCTATTCTAAATTAGATACTACATTTTGTACATTCATTTGAGCACAGAATCATTGAAATTAAATCGGCTATTCTCGATTTATGGAATGTATGCTGTGAATAGATCTTTTTACTGTAAAAATGAGATGAATAACCAATTGTAAGTGTTTCGTTGTATTAATAAGAAAATAAGAAATAGAGGGCCATCTTTTTTCAATTTAATTGTTACACACTGTTAGTAGAGGATCAAAAAAAAATTAAATTACAGTCATACCTGGGTTATATTATCCCTCTTTTCTAGAGCATTTTTAAAGATATAACTAATGCAGAATATAACTCAATATATAAAACATATCAAAACATATAAAAAAAAGAAATTTATTCTGCTTAAATATGGGGATATAACTCAGTTGGGATATAACTCAGGTATGATTGTAAATGTCTGTCCTAATTCTGAATCACATCGATCTATGGTTTTTCGTAATGGTAAGCACAGAAACGTACTAAAATGTCATGCGATAATTGAACATTTGTAATAAATTCATGTGGACAGATTTCATTCGAGGTGACAAAAGTCAACAGATCGAAAAGATGCTAAGCAGGGGCAATGTGCCCATGAAAATGCCAAGGGGCTAAACCAATTCGGAACAACCAAGATTTATAAGCGTTTGTCACATTCAATGAATTTCTGTATACAGTAATGCTAACGTAATAAGGGTCGCTGTATGAATAAGATGTTTAAGGAAAGCATAATCTCATTCCCATGCTGACAGTTGCTCTAGTTGTCTTCAATTTGCAATGAACAGAAGGACTAAACAGAATATGGGCCACGACAAATCTGCTGGTAGCAACACGTCTCAAGAAACAGTAGAATCAGTAGAGCCATCAGGTGCTCAAATTCAAGAGCCTCAAAATATCAGGTTTGATAGCATATTTGGATACGATGATTCAAGCCACGGTAGCATCAATAGTGCAAAACATGCGTCAGTACATGGACCAACAACTTGAAACGCAGAGAATAGAACAATCAATGTATAGAAATGATCAATAGAAGATTCGAGCAGTTAGAACAGATGAACTTACAGAATAGTAGAAGTGCTCATAATAATAATAGTGGACAGCATACAAAAACAGGCACGATGATAGTGGTCAACCCACAGCGACACAGCAGTCAAGTGGTCTAAACCATATCATGGAACAGCAGTCAGTCAGTATTGAAGAGAGTACAAACCCAGTACAAGGTAATTATCCTCCCACTTCAATAATCAATAATCTCATCGTGCAAAACCCAGTGATCCAAAATGAGGAAAGATAGATTGGTATAGATCCTTTAAAATATAAAGTTACTACTTGGAAGTTTCCTGTACTAAATTATGCAGCAATAGGTCAGTTGCTGGCAGTTTAAGGATTGTCCAACCCGAAAGCTATAGAATCTGAATGCATTCGCTTGTAGTGGGTTATGAATTGGACCGATGGTCAGAAAATGATTGAAATACTCCAGCAGAAATCTAGTTTAGCCAACAAAATATGAAAGGCGTTAGCACTGGGATTATTTGTGAATTTATAAAAGTTTGTATACAAGAATATGGTAGATAATATAAAGCATCTGGATGACAATACAATCTTACAAACTGCTGATAATGGAACTATAGCATTGAGGAAAAGGATCCGTAACATATCATTCCACAACATATCTGAGTGGATGTTAGCTTTTAAGGCTTACATGGATGCGGTACTCATACTATATAAAAATCAGGATCTAGAATTGAGTGCTTACAGAGATCATATAAATGAACTAGTGGTCAAATACGATTTTCAAGCTGTTTTAGGATATGATAAGGATCGAAGAATTGGCCTGGTCATGAATCGCGATACTACATTATTGGCCAGAGATATAGAAGCAGAAGGCAA